GCAGGAATCTAGAACGAGAACATCCCGCATCATTCGACGCGCACGTTCGTAATCGACGTGATACGCGGTGGATATTAGCGCCTATTAATGATTAATTGATCGATGCCAGGAGGCCTCGTTTCACGTGTGTGACGATGCTACACGCCGGTTCCAGCGAGCGAGAACGGAGAGGGTCGACCCGGGTCAGATCATGCTTTGCGCCGAATCGTTAGAAAGTCCGCGCTCTGAAGTCTCGCTGCGCTGCGTAGCACGCTCCGGATTAAGAAGAGATACTCATCCATCGACTCCATGCACTTGTTAGAAAAGAATTCGCTGTATTCAGAACAGAAAAAACTCTTGCGCGATAATTCAGATCTCAGAAGGACCTCACCGATATCCTTAAAGATCAGCGCAAATACAAGCATGACGTGATTCTAAATTTTCTTCCTGTCAATGAGCGGCTCGCGGCAGTATCGCGATTTATCATGATTTATCGGATACAATTTATCCGTGACGAGAGAAACGTGATAATTCTTAAACGATCGGGAAATGAAAAATGTATGATTCAACGCGACAGCGAACGGCTAACGATCACTCAACGAAGTATCACGACTCGCACGAGTTGTTGAGGGTAAACAGAAACCAACATAGTCATTTAAAAATGTCCTCGGTTAATCGAAATCGATTCAAAACGGTTAAAGCGTAATCGGACGTTGATTCCACACGGTCGATGAAATACGAATAACGAATGGATGTTCGTGGAGGAATTCGAGGATAAACACGCGTGGGACGCGAGGATCCAACAGGATGCAACGTCCTTCGTGCGCGTCGCATCGGAAGACACATAAGCCACATTCATGACTTTTTAACGATCTAGGACGGAGCGATCCTATGATCAGCTCAGACACACGGCCGTGTTTATGTGTGTAGCGAATGCTTTAACCCTCTCATCCCGAATCCTTGGAGTCTATGGACTGTTTTGTACCATGATGTATTGCATGATGTATTACTACAAGTTACGTCCTCACACCTTCTCGCAATCGACGATTCTAAATACGGGTACAATTACTTTCATTCTTCACGTTTACGTAATACATAATACTCTATATGTCATCGAAAGTTTCACCGAGGTTCCATTGATGATAACAATATTGAAAAATGGAATTGTTGAGCCTCAAATTTAAATCAAAAGTTGAACAAAAAATATTTATTAATGATAATAAATAGATAAATTTTTTTCAAATAAGTTTATGATTTTATGACTTTTATAATGAGGATAGTATCACGTTAGATCGATTAATGAGACAAAACTGTTTACGCTATCAGTAATGACATGTAATTGCCCCCTAAGCAAGTCTATATTTGTATATCTACGTACTGTATTTATTACAATTATTACCAGATAATAGTTCAATCGCTTCCAACTTCTCTCATCATGAAAATAAATAATCAATGTACTAAGTATCAATTGAATACGTAGCAAGAACTTGCAGTAATATAATTACATTCGTTTTTCCGAGATAGTTTCGCACTGCTGGCTCGAACGAAAGTGAATGCATTAATATAACAGGTACGGATAAGGGTCACTATCATAATTCTAGCTAATCTATGAAAGGATCACTCATGCTGTTGATCAGTTCGCAAGAATTCTCCGCGACATTAGAATCTCGGTGCCACGATTCTAAGAGGATTCATCTGCGTCGTAATGCCATATTTGCCGAGCCAAGTATCGAGATCAAGAGCTCGTAGTCGAATTCAACATGGTAACTCGATAGATGAATCGAACGGCGCGCACACGAGATATTCCATGATGTAAATAACGACCGCGAGATCGTTATGGCTCCACTTTATAAATCTTAAGCGATTTGTTTAGATTTCACTTTTATACGTTTTAATGATTCGATATTGCGTATTCGCATGATCATTATAGACGCATTCATCGACGGCTGTAAAGAGAAGATCACAGATCTGTTCGTGTCTGCGCGTTAAATCGAACATTTATAATTGAACAAAGGTAATAAATTGCTGCTAATTAATTATCTCGCTAAATTTGTATTTAATTTAATACATTTTACGTGTCTTAAATGGTCCACTCAAATTTATATGTGTTAATTCAACACAAAATGAATATGATAGAAATTTAACACAAATATCATTTAAGAAGAAAACACAAAAAAAGATAATACTGATACAGTTTGTAAACAAACTATGGAAGCATATTTTTTTCAGTAAAATTAATATTTATACATTAAATTAACGTATATTCATTCGTCAGAATTTATATTTTAAAATATATTATTTTTAGTCACTTATTCATAAATTGTATTATTTTGACATAAAGAAATTTTGAATACGAAGAAATTCAACATAAAGAGTGGACCGTTTCCAATGCCGATTCAAAATGTTTTTTTTACTTAAAAAAAATCGATAATACCACAGTATCATTAATTGTACGTTCATATACAGAGTGTCCCGAAAGTTTTTGCCAATCGCTTTTGTGTAGATAGAGCGAACTAAACTGAGTCAAAAAGTCTTGTACCATTTTGCAATTTTGGCAATAGTTAACATGATATTAATTACTAAAAATTGTCAAATATTGGTCTTGAATAATTTTTTATTCAAATACTATTAACTTTAAAAACTGCAAAAGACAAAAATGATTAATTTTTTTCTCATAGGACTCTAAACATTTTTTCGGAATTTTTTAATATCACATATTTTCTCATGTTGGTAAAAATAAGAAATGCAATAATGATTGGCAAAAACTTTCGGGACACTCTATAAAATATAAAAATGTTTACAGGCAAACGTTTTTATACACCAGCTGTACCAAATTTACGAAAGTCACTTGTGAAGCCATTATCAGAGATTCTTTCACGTACGTGTGTACTACACGAGCAAAAGAATGATCGGTACCAGGGTTCCTCTCGAACGTTGATTCTCGAGATGTGTAGCGGGGTCCCTGAAGGCACGTCAGTTTCGATTATCCTCGGCTAACGTTAGGCCCCGTTCAGCGCGTGCTCGCTCGCGCGAACGCAGTCGCGGTCCTCGAAACGTCAGACTGTCGGGGCCGTAAATTTTTTCGCGGGCGCCCACCTCTCGTCATGCATATTCATGAATACTCGAATGTAATCGAACGCCGCGCGAGACTGGAGACGGCGGGGTCCTCGAGCGCTTCGATCAGCCGTCGACTCAATTCAAGAATGACGAGGGCCAACCATGAGAGCGTATATAGATAAGAGCGACTCAAGGATCACTGCTCCTCTTGGCAAACCATGCCGTGGAATACCGAGGGACGGCCGTGCACTTTATGCGAATCCCGAGACGACACGCACGACATCGATTCTTATCTCCCGAAGGATACCGCGCGCCACGCAAAAAGTGCAATACGAGGTGCGACGCGGTGATGCCGTTTCCGAAACGGCTTACAGTATCATGGCATGATCGAATTTGGTTTCAAACAACTTCGATATCGATACCGAATACCAGCGGATCGCTCATTAAATATATCGATGTTCACGCGGTCATCAAGCATGTAAAAACTTATGAAAAATCCATCTTAAGTTATCCATCTTAATTATCGCGGGATGCTCATTAGGGTACACAAGAGAGTCGCGCTACGGTGAGTCTTCATTTTTCAGTTGCAAAATAACTTCCCAAAGTGAAGTGAGAGGAAATTGCGACTCGTGACGTGGATGAGGAACTTTTCTACCGCGATGCTGGAGTCATGGTTCTTGCTCTCTGTCAAGTGTGAGTGAACGATGTGACAGCCGGAGGAATAACTTCTGTCACGAAGCTGGTGAGGAGTGGCGCGGTGTTCGAGAGCTTCGTGACACCGCCGATCCGCGAAGTGGAAGATCGTATCGTGTACGCGCGAGATAAGCGTGTCGGGTTATCTGTAATTAATCAATTTGCGTCTACCAGGCGGCAGCCTGGTAATTACTTCGGATTCTCCGTTTTATCGCGAATTATGAAACCATTCATCGCGCGGTTCGAGCGAAAAACGGGGGGAAGTAGACACACTATCTGTGGAAAGTAGACCGCGCCCCAGTTCTACGATGAAAGGTCGTTACTGCCGAGCGAAATGCCGCGCTTCTAAGTGGAGGAAAACGAGGGGAAGCCTCACGTTTACACCCAATAGGACGGACGAGTGGATAATTTCAGTGGACACTCGAAAACCCCGACAACCACGCCCGTAACTTCGCGGAAATAGCAAATGTTAAGTGATCCGTAAAAACTATCATTGCGAGATCTAGTATTTCGCCTCGGAACGAGATAAAGAAAGAAAGAAAGAAAGAAAAAAGACAAGGAGGAGAAAGAAAGAATGAAAAAGAGAAAAAGAGAGAACGAGAAGAAGGAAGGGAGGAGAAAGTATAGATACTACAAACACTAGAGAGGGATGGAGGATCACACGCTAACTTCAAGGGGTCATTATAGAACTTTCCTAGCTGGCGCGCCGTCTCTCCCTACTCGCTAATGCCAGACTGTCCGGATTGACTGATGCCAGGTCATTCAAAGCCTTCTAGATCGCTTCGTTGCCTCACTAACGTAGAAGTCGGGAAGATATTGCGCGATTGATGACAGCGTGCACCATTACAGAGTTGGCTTTCAAAAGCCATTAAAAATACTAGCTACGTCCAACGCGATTCGTGCAACAATCTAACCGAATCGAAACATTTATCAGATTTTTTTTCCTTATTTCAATGAATACGCGGATCATCGTATATATATATATGGTTATTATAACTTAAAGGAGTTAGCTGTATAGCTCTTTTTATTTTTCCAAGTTAGAATTGTGACAGAACAGAAACATGTTTCGAACAAAACCATCGCAGAAAAGTATATTTATAGGAAAACATTTGTCTCCAATGACAATCGTTGTGCAATCTCGCGCTTTAATAAAGACATTAAAATTCGTTTGATGCGCTTGATGCGAGTATATGAATAATGACGTAAGTGCATTACCTACTATTTTTCCTCGTGGAAAACCGCATTGCGGTAAAAAGATCTCCTTGACTCACCTGTGCGTACTCGGCGCATATGTCGATTGACGAAACGTAATTAACGACGTCCTCGATGGTCCAGCGATTTACGGCTTGCCCATCACCGCAAGGTATGTGGCCATAGAGAGTCGGACACCTGACCGGCGGAGGTGTGGTTGGCCTCGCGGTAGGTTTCGGCTTGGGGGATACACTTTCGGATCTCCTTGTTTCCGTCCTTTGTCGCTTACGAGGTGCGAAACCACCGGGACTCGAAAGATCCAAGGGACTCGTCACCCCCGTGTCTCTTTTGTTCGCGCCTGTGTTTTAAAACAAAATAAAACGTTGCTAACGTTGTCTAATCTTCCTCAAAATTGATCAATGATATGCCACGTAAACATACATATCAATATAATACATAAAATATCTTACAATTCGATTGGATGCACTCAGCATTAAAATCATTATACACAAACTGATGTAAAAACGTATATTTAATATAAATATAAAAACACATTAACCAAGATATCCTCGATGTATTTTATTATGCTGTTAAGTAAAATATATATTTTATAATTTGAAAAATATGTATTCCACTTTTGCACAGATTAATTCAGTACAGACTTTAATATGCAGTACGCACTACGCACTGATGCGTCAAATCAAATCCGCTATTAAAACGTGGATTTTTATCTACGAATGCTTTGATCAATCTAGAGTTGATTTTCCTTCATAAGAATAGGTTGAATCAATCGCTCATATATAAATGTTATATAAACAATTAAAAATTAAAGAAAACGCATAAAAATTAGTACAATTTGCGATTAAAAAATAATTCTGATTTCTTTTTTCAATCATAAAGTAATGTTGATCTCTAATATATTTCTTCTCTATTTAAAAATAGAGTATAGAGAGATCTAGTACACTTAACTCCTATGATACTTGCCTTTGAGATATGTCTCCAATTCTGCAGCGCTTTGTGCCGCATTGGCAGTTCGCACCATGTGCAAAAGAGCCTGGGTGGATGACATATCGATCATAGGCGGAAACACAGGACTGCCGAAGAGACTATCCTGCTTTTGCTCTTTCGGATCTTTGTTGGAGAGCGGTGAGGTCGTCGGGACAGTCGATGGTTGCGGAGCCCCTAACGGCGCCATTAGACCAACGAATGGCGTTGCTGCAGCCTTGAAGGCTGGAAATCTCGGATCTAAACCCGGAGGATAACCGTTTCTTGGTGTGCTAAAGTAACTGAAAGAATCAATCGTCCTTGATCATTAACTTCCTATTATAAATATAAAAAAAAAAAAATACTCGGTACTACTACTCGGTATCACAATCGCACGTAAAAACATTTCAAACTTTTCAGATTCAAGAATATTTTTCTCATCTTTCATCCAATATAAAAAATGCTTTTCGTGATAAAGATGATGTATATGATATAGTAAATTATGAATTTTAATTTCTTGACATGATTCAATGTCAAACGAGAGAATAGATTCTTCTATTTTCAGATTCAACGGATTATCTAGATGCCGATTGAATTTAGGAAAGCGTAAACAGACATGCGATAAATGAAAGACTCGAATCTTCTTCTTCAAATAGTAAGGATCGCATTGTTAAAATCTATGTTCAACACTTAACTAAGCAATTAAATAATCATTTGATCTGTTTCCAACCATGTATCAGAAGGTACAAAATTAAAAATCGTATAACGTACAACGCGACAACCGGTTTCATGCAAGAGTACGTTAAGTCTCTCAAGTACTCTCTACGTCTTATGAATCTTAATCACACGAATCATCTATTTGCAGCCTTCAAGTCTTAATTCTTTTACATCGTCTCGCAGTGTTCGTCAATATATTTGCATGTTATGTTCCAACAAAAAATATATTCAAAGACGTTTGCAAAATCTTTTCTTAATCATACAAGACATTTAGATAAATTTTATGACACAACAGTAATGAAGCAGTATTTGCATGTCAATTTTTAATTGACACGTCATTGTATGGCTTATTTAAAAAGAAAATCGAAAGTGATGTTAATGTTGTAATGTATGCCTCTCCGTTATGTTAATCTCGCAACCTATTTACAAGGATTATAACTCTACGATGAGTAATCAAAAGTGATCAATAAAATGAGATGGACGTACTCGTTGGGGTTGGCGTTGTTGTACTTGGCGGCGAGACTCCTCATAAAATCACTATAGTTTCGCCCCATCATCTGTTCCATGTGCTTGAGATGATGAGGTGGCGGTGGACCCTCGGGTCCTCCCAAGGGCGTAGCATTTGGCGGCGTTCCCGGGTGACTCGATGAAGAAGGCGTCACGCTCCTCGACGACGTCGAGTTATTGTCAGGCGTGAGTCGTTCCGTTTTAACCTGCAACGTGATAGGATTGCCTTTCTTTAAACGAGACATTACCGCGCGCAACCGGATGCAATAAAAAGGAGCAAAACGCGCAGCAATTAACCGGTAATAAAAAGAATATAAACAGAAGTATTAATTAGTAAACGGAAATAACGCGGGGGCGATAGAAGTATAAGCGTTTAACGCTATTTCATTTAACGCTAAAAAGAACAGATTAATAATTACTTGCAAATGCAAACTTTCAAGTACATTCACTTAAAACATTAGATTAATATAAATTATATTACAATTTTAATACCATATAAGATATATTTAAATATAACAAAAAACATTTTGTTATATTTCATTATAAAAGGAATATCCCACTTCAATTAATTTTAGCATAGTACACGAAAATGTGCTTCTTGTAACTTTTATAGTCCTTTATACAAGTTATTATTTAAACATTACAATATTTAGCATCGATTAATTTGTTAATCTATTAATGTAGGTTAAAATGAAAATATTCAGTGTATCGATTCATTTTTTTAACAGCCGTATTGTGGCTCATCATAAGATGAAATGGCATCTTGGGATGACAATATGTCACTGCTTTTGTTAGGATAAAATGCTAGTAGTCATTTTCTCTAATATATACGTTAGGGCGCTATAAACAAACGTTTTGCCGCATAATTCCGCATAATTTGTGACAGGATATTCATATTGACAAATATTTAATAAATAAACTTATATGTTTATTTATTTGCTTATTATTGTATTATATTAATTTACTGTTCAATTCAAAATTCTGAATAGAGAGTACAGTTTTTTAATCCATTTCTTTCAACGGATTGAATTTTCTTGATTATATATACTGGAACATAAACTACTTGTAACACTATGCAAATATAAAATAAAACAAATATCTATTTATACGTTTAATACTTACACATTACATAACTTTCACTTTAAAAAACAGTCCAAAATGTAATTGGATAATATCTAATTATTGCAGTAGATGGATTCACGATGACTTGTAGAAAGATATATTTATGCTGTTAAAAACATATCAAAGTTAAAAATGTCTCAAAGTTTATTTTACATGTTGTATAACTTAATCTATCGAAGTTATTACTTATATCCTTATATTATTTATATTACCTATATTATGTTACAAATGTTTATTTTTATCATAAAAATCATTAATAATGTGTTCTTGCAGTAAAAAAGAAAACAAAATAAATTCTTAGCATTTTTTTTATATGTGATATATTATCCATTTTTCAGCACTTTTATTTTTAATAATAAAGAATGAAAATATTCGATTCCAATTATATACAAATAATAGATAAAGGATGGAAGAAAAAGAATATTAGTATGTAAAATTACTTTAAATTGAACAAATAATTATTCAAAAATCTAATTTCGCTTCAGTGTGGCATATTCACCCCCCACTTACCCTATATACTTAGACGACGCAAGTAGGGTTAATAATTTGAAATTGTTAAGTGTCCTCGCGTAAAGTTGTCAACAGTACGTCTGCGGATTATTCATTTCATCTTATCCATGGCAACAATAATTTTACTATCTTTATTACCGGTGTGCTTCATGTTTGAATGCTGAAGGCCACAGAAACAATGCATCTTTAAAGAAAAAAAGAAACGCTTTAGCCTTTCCTCACCATTGTTCTCCGTGTGGAACTAAAAACTGCTATGTTTAAAAAGATGCATTTAGAATATATGGATAATAATACTAATAAATGATTAATCGAAAAATGGCTTAAATGACTTTTACCATATGATTAGTTACACACGCAGTAAAAATGTTCATTACAAATAATTAAAAATAAAAGAAACAACGCGGGCAACACTGAATAACGAGCCGAGACAGATAATTATCAATGATAATTATTACTGCTTTTATAGTAAGACCAAGTCTATTGTATCGCAGATTATCATATCCTTGATTTACTGCCAGCGCGACTATTTAGCACTAATGAACAAGCTTCATTTGTATACACAAAAAAAAAAAGGTTCCAGCCTTCGAAGCTTTAGTTATCAACGATGGACCACGCCTTCGACTGTGAAGGACGCTTATCGGCAGTTGCTGAGCACAATATGTCTCGCTCGGACGAGATGCGTGGCGATAGGAAATATTCCGGGTGCATTAATTCCCGGGAACAGATTGCATCTGAGATATGGTAATGAAGGCAACGCGTGGCGTAAGAGTTGACTCCTCTTCGCTCGGCACGGCGAGAGAACGCGCCGTGACACTAAGAAGAACGAGAGTCGATTGGCGTAGAATAGGGTTCCCGAGAGCGTAGTCCGAAGACCGCGGTAGAGACTATGGTAAATCTCTTTCTCGCCTCCAGACCTCTTCCTGACAAGGGATCGCTTCAGGCTCAAGGCGCGGGCACGATCCTGTATAGTATATATATATATATACACCTACATTTCGAATGAGTCTCGCTCGGTGTGACCGATACGTGCAACCAGATCTAGAGAAAATACGCAAGACATGACAACTGTACGAGCAAGAGAGCCTCGAAATTAAAGCGATCGTTCTCTTTCAATGTAATTAATCATCATTCGATTATAGTAGCTGCATAAAACATACGTTGTTGAATAAAATAGCAATATAAACCGTTACAAATAAATGATTAAATATATCGTACACATCTTCTAAATGAAATCATATTTTTTTTCCTTTTAATGGCTGTGTTCAGCTTTGTAATTATTTGCAAAATTCTTTAATAAGATTGATTTTGTCGTCAGTACCTTATGGGATTCAAATGTATAATAAGGTAATTATATTTAAAGAATTTTACAACAGTTACAAAGTTGCTTTTTTTTCGTTAAGCGCAGCAAATATAAAAAAAAAGAGAATATCTCGTAACAAAAAATTGAGTTACATATAAGATACATGACGGTTTTCATACTGTAAATTTTTTGCATATTCTCCTGATTTTTTTCTAAATAATCTCAAACGAGAAAGATTAATCTTCCTCCATTCTTACTCATCGATTCTCTCAATTCCGTTCTAGTGGATTACGGATGCCAAAAGTTATAAGTCATGATAAAGCTTGCCGCACGGGAGATTAATTTCTCGAGTTGCTACTATTCCTCAGAGAATACTATCTTTCCTATTTGTATAGCTGAGCTACGAGAAATTCTTGCGCGTCATGAATCGACTGTTCTTTTTACCAATGATGATCAATTTTTTACCATCGCAGCTCTAAGCATCGCAAAGACAACCCTTTTTTTTCTTTCTTTTTCTTTCAGTCAAGTCGTTTACAGAAGCGCCCTGCCGGTCGACGGATGTCAGCGGCGGGATGACACTGCGGCTTTCGACGCGGTTGACATAGTTGCTGCATGGTTAGCTTTGAACGGGACTCTCCGTGTACAACGTGTCCGGGCTACCGCTCGAACTACAGGAGCGATGGACTCTCTCGTCGAGGATATCTCCCGAGACTAGCGCACGTGTCCCGAAGTGGTACGCGAACGCTCAAACACTCCACTTGACGGAAGAAGTCAAGCGGGTCTCTCTGTCTCAAAAAATTTGTACGACAAATCTCGCGTCCTCGCGGCGACTCGCGTCTTTCTCGTCGAAAGAAAGAGAAAAGAAAGGAAGAAAAAAAAATAAATAAAAATTCCGAACGACGTTCAGTCACGCTACGTCAATACGGTAAGGCGAATGTCGTGTTTGCCTACGTACGTAGAAGTTTTGTGTACCGTTGTGTCAAAATTTTCATTCCATCGTGGACTTTTTCAAAAGTGGGTAAATCAAAGATGAAAGAGCAAAAGTACGATTTAAAGTAGAGATATTAGATGTTTAATTATAAAAAGGTAATTACTTACTTGGGTAGTGTCGAGACCATTCTGGTTTTGTCGCCTCCTACCACGTGGGGGTCTGGGGGTTGCCGCACCGGACAGATGGGTGCCCTGAGGGCTTCCCCCCCTGGCGTCGACCGCTGTGTTTGCTGCCAGGGTGGCCCCGTCGTTGTTTTCCGTGTACGTACCTAAATCCGCCGCCTCTCCACGGTCGCCACCACGTGGTCCTGTGCCCGTGGACACGTTCTCGCCCGACACCTCACCTGAAAACGAAACACACACACACAAGGGGATATATCAAATTTCGATCCGCTTTTAAAAAGTATTAAGCGCGCGCGAGATCTTCGTCCCTGTATGATACGACCCTATATAATTCTTAAGCCCGCTCGGTTTTATCAAGTTATATATGAAAGATTAAACCACCAAGTATTTCCAAGACACAAGACGCGATTTTAAGAAGCTATTAAGAGATTTCAAATGACCAGAGCAATGACCCTGGTAGAGCACACTCAACTCCAAATTTGGACTTTTGACGAGAAGATAAATTCACCGTATTTCAACCAAATTTGTGTCCCCTCAGGATGGCTCGAGTTTCGTAATAATGCGACGCGGCGGTCCGCGTGTTTTACGTCGTAAAGCTTTCTGAACGTCTCGCCGTGTAAACGGCGTCTTTCGACACAGAGGGAATTTAGAATGAAATACGTTAAGAGAAAGAGGGATAATCGTATAGAACACGATTGCACACGGTGGCGGTACTAGCCATTCGCACGCGAGATTTACGCTCAATAAATGGCCTCTACCTGGCGCCATTATCTTCTTGATCAGAGACGCGTATCTACCGACGTAGAGCGAAACGAAAAACAGCGTAAAGGTGCGGAGAACGAAGAGAACCGAACGAGAGAATCGAGGAGGTCACTGTCCACTGCGACTACCTAACGTATCCAATAAATTCTTGTCATCGTTAAACGCCTGGAATTTTATGGAGGTAGTAACTCGTCCGTATCGCCGAATTTACCAGCTGATACGATCGGCCGCGATTAATGCAGCGATGGTGTCAGCAACGGTGCCAGGAAAAGATACGAGAACTTTGTATTTCGTAGCGATATTTCCGGTATTTTACACCGGTATTTTCATTCCAACGAATTCCTTGAGTGCGATTATAATTTCATGTGGCGTTTCGTCATATCAACAATTGTTCCATTCATGACAAATATTTCTCAGGTAATAATTGAATAATGTTAACCGTTTTCCATAGTAAGGTATAAGAGACTCAGTTAATTGATTCGTGCTTGTCAGATTTTTGTCCAAAGTATATCCACAATAACGGAGAACAAGTGTATGTTAATCGTACCTATATACACAAATGTCCTGATAGTAAAATCGACAGCGTCGGAAGTACACAAACGGATATTGCGATTATTTTTATAATGCGTCAAGTTAGCACCTCCAACAGGCTCAGCTCGGTTACTATCTCGGATTATATTCTACAATCCGGTTGTAGAAACGGCTTCGCGGCGTCGAGCGGAATACAGACCGAGGTAGCGATCGTAAAAGCCACTTCTATGACACTCACTGCCAAATGTCTTCATTATTTTGAGTTAAAATATTTACAGCTGCCCATAAAAATTCCATTAGGCAATGTTTGCTAGTGGGAAAACCATCGCCCTCCTCAAGGTGAGGTGTTCGAAGATGCTTCCGACGCATCTCGTCATAAATGACATCCAAATATAGTTATAAAATTGGAAAATATGCGGGCAACAAACATTGTACGCATCGTTTCGTGACGAATTAGCTACTAACGAGAACGATATAATGGTTAGATGACACGTTCGACGGGAATATATAATTTCGGAATATATAATTTAATCAATTTTATAAATGAATTTCCATGAAATGTCGTTGGCTGAATGATTTGTGGACTGCTAAAGATTTTATAGTAGCCTATTAATTACACACAGTAAAATGGAGGGAATGTAAAATACATTTCATGTTTCGATGAAAAGTATAACTATAATTTCACTTTATTAAGTTGTTGAAATCATAACGTACCAGAGAAATATAAATCTCTTGAAATATAAATTTCTTGAATGTAAATTCCTGTTTAATAGGAATAAGAAGAATATATTAACTATTATTTCAACATTTATCTCTTGACTGATTCCATAATCATCGCGTTTCGCGTAACAAGATTTTTTTTTCACATTTTCTCACGATTTTTTTTGCGAGTTGGCGGTAGCGCTTCGATGGCACATACGACAAACATCGTAACTTCAGGAACTTTCAAAGCAGGGAGTCATTGTTTAAAGATCGTCCGCGTTTTGTTGTCTAACTTTGACTTAACGACATTTACATAGTAGTGCAAAAATGATATGCAGCTGCACTCGTGGGATTGGTTAAGATTCGAACTGAGAGATAGAAATATACAGAAGAGTGTCACTTGAGTTTTACACAATTTTGTCACAAGAAAATACAAATACATTATAAAACAATATAATAAAGTTAACAACGGAATGAGGTATTTTGTAAAAATCTGATGAGGAGACGGCCAAATAGTGTTACATACAGATTTAGCCTAACTTTAAATGTTTAATACTTACTCCGCCCCCCATAAATTAATAAACAAGTGACGCAATATTTAAGTATTTATGAGAAAGGAAAATAGATAAAATTAACGGATTTTGGCCTAAATCATAATATTTTATTTTTTTCTTATACACTCTTGCGAGTCAAACATTAATTGAGTTATTAAATTTTCAAATGCGAGTTTAAAAGAGAGATTATAAGGAATTGTTTTGAAAAGAATTTGAATTAATATTTTTTTTTCATTTTTTCCAGTAACATATTACTAAATATACTGCACTACATGTATCGTTTAAAAATATTACAGCTGAGTAGTTTGCAATAAATAATATTCCCTGAAAAAGTTTGAGTTCGGAAGATTTCGTTGCGTGCAAACGAGGGATGTTAACAGCAGCGAAATACCTATGGTGAATACTAAGAGCTACGTAAAGTCCGAGTGTGAAATATCGTAACGACGTGTTAAAACGAACTAATGTGCAGCGCACGTATCTCCCATGACACACCCGCTGCGTAAAGCCCGCGCTTCGAGGTTGCATTCGCCAATGCAACGAAAATGCGATGCGCCTGAATCGCGACGTCTCACTTTGACGGCTCAATGACAAAGCGGTAGATCAATTTACTAAATTAAAAAAATAACAGACAAAATTCAAAATCTCTTTTCCCTTCTATTAGTATTTTTAGTTCAACGCGACGTTGTACTGTACATTTGGCAGAAAACAGAAAGTATAACGTGGAAAATGTGCGTGGGAAAAAAAGCGATGACAACCCGCTGGCGTGCCGCACAAAAACAGTAGCTCGCTTCTTGCTCTCATCCGCGATATATCGCGTATCTTGAGATACGCGTGTAATTTACCGGTTTTAGTGAAGCTACCTGGATAACTATTTCGTTCCTGGGCGAGACAGGTTTCCACGAGAAAGAAAGCCATCGGAAGACATCGAGATGGAACACCAGGAACTTATAGTAATCGCGTACAGCGTAGTCATAAATTATCCAACGCGACCGTGACTAAAATGAATTGACCTTCGAGGTCGAGTACGAAGTGCCGTCGCGTCGGGAATAAAACCGGCGGCCTCTCCGGCTTGGATCGCTGTTAATTATTCCGGCGTTAAGACTTTCAGAAATTTCACCGAGTTGGGAATTTTTCCACGATCTCGTGGACGAGATTAGAAGCGGACCGGGAAAGTTGCGTAATATATCACGCGATATAGGGATCGATCCAGCATCCATCTCCGGCACACAACGGAAAACGACAATAGGACGCTTCCGCGCGACGCATTGTTCAAAGAATGACCTAAAGATTCATCAGCGCGAGTTCTCATACATGTGAACATACGTGTGAATTAACGTATTTAATTGAAAAGTCGTGATACGAGCGGAAAAACACTGATACTAGCAATAGTGTACTAAACTACGCTGATCAAATCTAACGGACATTAAATTATTCTTTGGCGCGTCCCGACGTATCATTGATATCAAACATGATAAAAATTGCCATTTGCGAAGAGCATTACATTACGCTCCATTACACGGATAATAGATTTTTTATTGCCGCACTGGCGAACCGGTGCAATAAGTTGAAGTGAAACAAATGTACAATATATTGATTTCACTTCAACTTATTGCACTGTGCGTACCAGTTCAGAAAGTGCAGCAATAAAAAAACACACCTAATATTTCAGAGAGGAAGAATTTAGTACTGCATCCGCTACTCAAAGTCGATGCTGTTCAACTTTCCCCTTTCGTGCTCTTTTCCTTTTATAATATTACCTACCGTAACAACGATAGATCGGAGAGTCTCACGGGTTTTCGATCGATCCGCTGAAAGCGGAATCCGCCGGATGCGGGCCGCGTACACGGCGTTTCTTCCGGCCTCAGCAACGCTGGCCCAGCAAGAGACTACCCACATTCACTTCGCTGCGCTCGCGCTGCGAAGCGAAGCGACCGGGTCTGCGTGTGCGCATACGTGCGTGAAGTGTACGCGCGTGGTACGCACGTCGTACGGACGCGTACGTCCGCATCCGGGGTCGGCCCGACGCTTAATGAACGATCGAACCCGGTTCTACGCGTCGCGCGGCGCGTAGCCCATCATTACGAGCTACTGCAGCGAGGAACCTCGCCTTTGTCGTTCCTTTTTGTCCTCTCCATTTTCATACGCCTGACTTTTCCCCCGCGACCTCGCGTAGCAGAGCTGCTGAATGAAAGATGATTCTATTTTTCCGCCACGTGCGCGAATCATCTCCGGGATCTTGGCAATCCTGCTGAGTCAAGCGAATTCAATAGTACCGCGAGCGATCTCATCTCGTTTGCGAAATGAAAAAAATGCTGGAAATTCTCTTTTCTGCCGCTAATGATATATGTATTGTGCATTCAATGGAAACGTGTCGTAGCTCTGGATAATTATAATTTTGTAATGAGAATTACAAAATTATAATTATTAAGTACTTTTAATGTTTGATTAGAGAAACTAGACATTACAATAACGTTACCGCGCAATTCACTTCTCCAATGTAAATTAATCATTTATCTCCTTTGACAAAAATTTATGTTATTTGATAACTAATGATGTAAGTATAATAATATCAAATTATTTCAGAAGAAATGATAATCAGTTATCGTTCTGAAAAGCATGAAAAGATCGTAACATACGTAACATATTATACATTATTGTCATCATTAATTATC